ATATATATATATATATAATCAATAAATAGCTAGTCATGGAGGGGAGATGTGTACGTGGTTGGAACTGTTGACATTTTGTGTTTGTGCAATAGGAGGGTGATAGTCTGACGTAGGACTGCTGGGACGGTAATAATTTCAAAACATTTTAAAAATAGTTTAACCTGTTTAGCTTGCATTATAAGAAGAGATATATGCTCATCCGTAGGGATATTGCAAATATAGGAAGAGTTGTTTCTAATTACAATACCTAGGGAGGGAATAAGAAATGGAGGTCTTGCTCAAAAATCCGGCCGCCGATGTCGGTGTTAAGCAGGAAAAGATTGCTGAATCTGATGCCCTTGAAGAGGGTTGTAACCGGGAGGATAGAAAGGTACGTATCTGATGATTTCATTTTTTTCCTTTTATATTCATCACAAAATTTCTCAAACATCCATGACTATGTAAGGGGGAAAAATTAAGATTAAATGATTTGAATTTCAGGAGGTTGAACTTGAATCTACGAAGGCAGAGATGGGAGAAGTGAGGGAAGAGAATCAAAGATTAAAGATGATGTTACAGGAGATTGAAAAGGATTACAAGTCTCTTCAACTCCAATTCTTTGATATCCTTCAACAAGGAGTTTCAAAGAGATCATCAGATTCAATTCCTAATTCCCATGAAAATGATGAATCTCCAGAATCTGAACTTGTTTCTCTTTCCCTTGGAATAAGAAGCAGTACTTCTCCTGAACCCAAAAGGGATGAAAGAACAGGAAATTCCAGTACCGGAAACACCAAAGAAGATGATCTTCATGAGCTCAAGGCCAGCCTGACTCTTGGGTTAGATTCTAAATTATTTCAGTTATCAACAGAAATTGTTTCTAATCCGAGCCCAGAGAACAGTACGGAGGAAGGAAAAGAAGAGGATGCAGGAGAAGCTTGGCCGCCAAGTAAAATTCCAAAGACAACCAGAAATGGAGATGAAGAAGTTGCACAAGGTCAACATGTGAAGAGAGCTAGGGTCTGTGTTAGAGCTAGGTGTGAGACCCCAACGGTTAGTATATACGTGACTACTTATTTTAAATAAATTCTTAAATTATGTTATCGACAATACGTTGTATGCTAACTGTTATACCAAACAATGATTATAAAAGATGCTTTAGATAAAAAGCTCTAACATTAATTCTTCTAATTCGTTATACACAGATGCATGATGGATGCCAATGGAGGAAATATGGGCAGAAAATTTCGAAAGGAAATCCATGCCCGAGGGCTTACTATCGTTGCACTGTGGCACCAGGGTGTCCTGTTAGAAAACAGGTAGGCATTTTTTGCTCAATTGCAAAAGAGATTAAACAATAGGATATGTTTAGAGTGATTAGATGTATAGGGTTTATTGGGAAATAACTATTTTCTGTGCAATTTTTAGGTGCAAAGATGTGTTGACGATATGTCCATTTTGATCACAACTTATGAAGGAACCCACAACCATCCACTTCCAGTTTCAGCCACCGCCATGGCTTCCACCACCTCCGCCGCAGCCTCCATGCTGTTGTCAGGCTCTTCAACATCTCAGCCGGGTCTCAGCTCCACAGCTGCCATAACCAACCCGGCTAATGGATTGAACTTCAGTCTCTATGATAGTACCAGAACAAAACAGATCTACTTGCCAAGCTCTACTTCCTCATCTTCACCTTTGTTCCCAACAATTACCCTGGATCTCACTTCCTCCTCTTCACCTGCATCTAACTATTTCAATCGTTTCTCATCAAATTTCAATTCCAGATTCCCTTCAACGAGTCTCAGCTTTTCTTCTTCAGAATCCAACAATATCTTACCAACAATTTGGGGCAATGGTTACAATTCTCTTGGCACCATGCCCTACAATCAGACTCAAACAGGGTCCATGTCCTTAAACCTTGGGAAAGAGTCCCAACAACAAGCTGGTGCTTCTCAACAGTCTTTGACAGAAACCTTAACCAAGGCAATAGCATCAGACCCAAGATTTCGATCAGTGATAGCTGCTGCAGTATCATCAATGGTAGGAGGCAATGCAGCCAAACAGGGGAACCCAAGTGGGATTTTGGAGAGTTTGATGCAACTGAATTCTCAAAATTCATCCATTCAGAATGGGAAAGGATGTGGATCTAGCTACTTCAATGGATTGTCATCTTTGAGTTCTCAAAAGGGAACTTTGCTGCAATCTTCATCGCCGTTTTGTATCTTTAACAGTGCATCTGTATCGGCTTCAGAAACTAAGGAACAGAAGAATTGATGCATACATAGAAGGAAGGGAAAAAGTCTTGATCTTTTGAAATGTAACAGAGAATTTTCCAATTGCAATTAATAATGAAGATCATCATTATATTTATTCAACGTAAAGTTTAAAGGAAACTTAACAAGTGTATCAATTTTTAATACGAAATAGCTAAGTCACAAGTCATTTTCTCCAAGTGACAACACCGGTTGGGTATAGTGGTCAAATCTAGCCATCCCCATCACCTTACCTCCAAAGGAAAATGAACTAAGATAGTTGGCTTTGTTCAAAATACCAGAAGAGAAATTCGACACGCATCCTCAACTCCAAAATCACTTATTTTGTGTCCTCATTTGAATGTTTTAGTTAAAATTAGTAACTTATTTAGTTTGAGGGGAGTGCATGGGAGGTGATGGAAAATTATTATAATTAATTAAATTATTTTGTAAACTCAGTCAAATCTTGATTAGTTAAAATAATGCAAGCTCCTCTTCTTTCTTCTCTCCTCAATTTTCTTCAAATGAAACAAGTGATAAAAGGCAGAAAATCAAGGGAGATGACAATTCACAAGAGAACAGATGGTGATGGGGGCCGAAGGCCTAAAGAAAACTAATAATGTGGATCGTATTCTTGGGCCCATCCATTTGCTGTCCCATTTGAGTAGTCCAGCCCAGGTTTATATAAGACGGTCCAGATTATATTTGAGCCATCCAAACACT